CGTGTGCCCCCCCTCCCCGTGTGCGGTCCCCATGTGTGCCGTCCCTCGTGCTCCGCCCCCTGGTGTGCCATCCCAGGTGTGCAGCCGCCTGGCATGCTGTCCCCGGGTGTGTTGCTAGGCCGAAGTTGAGGGGGGGGGCTGGGTGCTGATGCCTGCTCATCTTTGCCCCTCCTCCCAGCAGTGGCTTCCTAACAGCTGTCTCCATGGAAACGGGAGGTGGCAGCAAGGTGGCTTCAGCCAACCAGACAGGACAAGCAAAGATGGATGTTCAGAAGGAGGACGGTAGGTCCTTGTCACGGCAGATGTATGCAGACTGACTTGACGTTCCCCGAGAACGTACTGGTTGACATGTTCAGCTCCTCTTGCTCTGCGCCATGAAACCATGGTACCTGTCCACCTTTGGGATTCATCCCCACCCCCACTCTCACCACCATTTAAGTCCCACTAGGGCATGGCTTTTATTTTTTTCTTTCCTTTTCTTTCTTTCTTTTTTTTTTTAAGAGGTTTTTGCCTTAGGGTGCATGTGCTCCCCAGAGAGAGAGAAAGACAGACGCAGTAAGAGGGAAAGTGAGAAATCACCTCCCAGGGATGGCCACACTGCAATCCCTTCTCCTTCATTAACCTCCCGGGATCTTGGGCACACACTGACACGCGCCAGAGTGGTTTTTGAAGCTAGCAGGTCCAGGACTTGAACCACGGTCAGCCGTATAGGAGTCCAGCAGCATAACTGTTATGCTACCTGCTGGTCTCAGTATTACACTCTTACTAGATCACAATATAGTCTAAATATAACTTGCATGTACTAGAAAACCAAAAAATTTGGGTGACTCACTTTATTTCAATATGAACTTTTTTCTTTTTATTATAGAATTATTTTAATTTAATGTACTCATTGTCATTTTATTTTATTTTTTGAAGTTGGCCAGAGAGAGACAGAGAAGGAAAGTGAGAAAGCAAGCTGCCAGATCCAGGGCTTGAACCACAGTTGGCCACATGGGAGTCCAACCGCCTTAACTGACATGCCACCTGCTGGCCCCTTGCAATAATAACTTTATCATGGTGGCCTGGAACTGAATGTGCACTATCTCTGAATTATGTCTTTATTTGAAAGATTTGAAGATGAAGGCACTCTATTAAAGTAATGATTTATTCACTCAGTCCAACAGATGTGTTCACTATATATACTTTACTTTCTTTGCATCGTTAATATGTAAGCAATTCAATTTCTATAAAACCAAGTTATGTTTGTCACATAAATAATTCTAAAATTAAATTCAGAGTTCTAAGTTTTAGGCTATCCACCGATCATGCCATATTATCCTCATACTACTTGTTTATTGGGGCTGGCAGGTAGCTATCTTTCTACTTACTACTCTCCCACCCAAAGAGCCCTTTCCACGCTAGACCTGCTCATCTTTTAGGGTTCAGGTCGAAGCCTTCCTCACTTCCTCTAAATAGGATTATTCAGCCTTTTTTTCTTTGCTACCCTCATATGTCCTCTTCCACAGTGACAGTTACACTGTAATCATTTTTCTTCTGTCCCCCCCACCCAAGGCAGCAGCCTATACAGTACAAGGATGATGAGACAGTTGTTTCTGTCTCAGGACTTTGCACACACTGTCTGTCCCCCATCAAGTATGTGAATGAATGAGTGATCACATAGATTCCATGATTAGATATTGATTGCTGTCCTCAAATATGATCACTGGTAAGGAAGGAAAATTACAGTAAGTGCCAGACTCCTGGCAGAAGGACCGAAGCAGGCACTCTAATCGGACATCACCGATTGCCCCCGCAGTGCCGTGCCTATTAAATGGGGAGGAGATGATAGGGGCCTTAGCACTTTGGTTCATTTTAGGTTTCCTCTGGCTGCCACGTCCTATACTCTGGCTATGCCATCAAAAGGAAATTTATTCAGGTAGAAACCGCAGTATTTTTTTCAAAAAGAAATAGGATGGAGTCCTTCCTTTTGCGACTTATTATTCCCTTTCAGTTTCACACTGTTTTCTAGTGTTATAAAATTTTCATGGAAAATTAACAATATCTGAGAATAGTTGGTCTCAATAAAAGGCAGGGCCCACAGGTGCTCCCAGCGAGTCAGCATGTCCTCCTTGGGGTCTCGTACCTCCCAGGTGGACCTTCGGGAGAACTTTCTGCCACAGGAAGGCCGGGCCTGCCAGTGGGGCGGGAGGGCTTGCAGTGACCGAGCATCCACGTAGCGTTGGTCCGGCCTGTGTTGCTTGGCCACTCCCTGTCCCTAGCCTGGCCACCATCAAGGCTGTCTTTTGTTGTGGCTCCAGAAAGGAGGGGCAGGCTGGGCACAGCAAGAGAAGGGCCCATGGCACGGATTCTTAAAGGATCTGTCTTACTGGGGCCAGCCAGTGGCACGGTGGTTTAGGCAGCTGGATTACTACATGGCTACTGCTGTTGAGCCCTGGACCTGGTGGCTTACAGGTCAGGCCGGGTATGTGTGTGTGCCCAAAATCCTGAGAGGAGAATGGAGGAAGAGGGATCGCAGCATGGCCATTCCCCCAAAGGGTGATTTCCCATTTTCCCTCTCTCTGTCTCTCTCCTCTCCTCTCCCTCCTCTCTGGCAAGCATAAACACCCATGGAAAAACCTTAAAAAAGGATTTGTTTTATTTAGAGTAGTTTCCTCAATGCCCAGGACGGAATCTGACACTTAATGGGCACTCAAATGACTGTTGAATTAAATTGTTATTTTCTTTTTGGTTTATCGTTGGTTTCTGTTTGCGAAGACTGTTTTTGCTTGTTTGTTTGTTGTTTTGGCTATACAGCATGTGCACTTGCTGGAGAGACAGAGAGACAGAAAGTGAGAAGCCACCAGCCGGGGGGATGATCACACTACAACCCCTCCCCCTCAACTCTCCTCTTGAGGTTTTGAGTATGCACGCACATGTGCACAGTGTGAGTTTTAAGCCGCCGTGTCTGGGTCTCAAACTGTGGTCAACTATGTGCGAGTCCACTGATATAACCATTACACCATCTGCTGGTCTCACAGAGAGAGAGCTTGTTCAAGATCTTGGGCACTGTGGTCATGAGGAAGGCCATCCTTACATACTCTGGCCTTCCTGTTCTGTTTCTGTCCAGTTTGAGTATCCGGGGGAGATATAGCTTCACGAGCTGAGCTAAGGGCCATGTTCTCCTTTTCACTTAGATGCACCTTGGCATGTTTGTACCTGTTGTTCCTTGGGACACGCACGGAAGACAGGGGGACCAGGTCCCAAGTGTTCCTAGCGTCCCTGTTTTGCACAAGCTGATCTGGACACCGCACGTTGGCGTTGCATCTTCACTGCCTGTCGACAGGAAGTGCTTGCCTCTGCACGGCCGCCCTTCCGTGGTCCTCCCTGCCATGCGTGTGCTGTGCCCGCCGCTCCCTAAGGCCGAGCCTCTGTGGCCCTCCCTCCCTGGCTGCCTGTCCCGAGTGCCAGCGCTCATTGACTCTCGGATCTGTTCCCTTCTCTCAGCTCTGTCCTGTCACCTCTGCTTTCCCGCGTTTTAGAGCAAACGCCAGGAGCTCTGTTTGTCTCTCTGCTTTCTCGCCTCGCCCCTCCAGTGAGTCCACGCTGCTTCAGCAGTCACTGATGGCTTCCATGTTGCCAAACCTCTTGTCACCTTTCTGTCCTCATGTAGCCGATCAACTCTTCAATGACATTGACCGTCCTGCCTTCTGGACGCTTCCTGCTCTTGGTCCCCCTGCCTCTCTGGCTGGTTTACCTCTGCCCTTTGGAGGTGGCCACTTCCTCCTCTGAAGCCAGCCTCCCCGGGACCTGGTCCGAGCTCTTGTCCTGTGGCCTGTGGCACCGCCCGCATCACCCTGGCTTTGCACCTTCTTGCTTTCCGGTGACTCTGTGCTTGAGAGCGGCCATTCCTCTGCGCTCTGAACTCCTGCCCACCTGCCTAGCTGTCCTCTTGATGCGAGTGTCTCACACCTCAAAGCTGGCAGGCCTTCCCTCCACACTTCTTAACCCGCTGGTGTGTTTTCTTCTCGTTTCTGGCTTCCTCCACGCGCCGGGCCGCCCACACCGCCACCTCCCACGTCCATTCAGTCACTTCCGCCTCGAGGTTGTGTGGGTCCATTGTCCTCTTTGGAACTGCGTCCAGATGCACCGCTCTGCCTCAGCTCCGACCTCCTCTGCAGCTCCCGGCGTTTGTCGCTGTCACCGTGCTCACGTGCAGTTTCTCTAGACCCTGCCTGCCTTCTTGCTCCGCCCTCTCCACAGCCCCAGGGCCACCTTCCGAAAGCAGAAGTCAGAGGGTCCCCTGGCGGGCAGTGCTGACGCGGGGCTCGTGAGGCTGGCGGACAGGGAGGGCCAGGTCCTTGTGGGACCTCCCTGGGCCCTGCACATGCGGCGCCTGCGGGGAGGGTCTGTCCGTGTGGGACCTCCCTGGGTCCTGCCCGTGGCGCCTGCGCCTCTGGCGTTCCTGTGGTGGCGATGGTGAGGGCCCATAGGTGATGCTTGGGTATCCCGTCTCTAGTCACAGCACCTGTGCACGTGGTAATTCTAACTCCACGCTCCTTCCTTTGTGTTGGCCAATGTGTCCAGACAGTGGTGAGAACCATAGCGCTTGGGGGGTGCGTCACCAGGTGCCTGGCTCCAATGGGAACGCTTCCACGGTTTTCTCCGAAGCCCGGTGCTGGCCTGGGGCAATTACACAGAAGGGGCAGTCGCTGGGTGCTGTCCACCAGTATTTCTGTGTTGTCGCATCATTTTCCTTTAGGTACATGATAGAATTGTACCCCCGTTGGGCCAGCAGGTGGTGTAGTGGTTGAGACACTGGACTCTCACATGGCCGACTGCGGTTCAAGTCCCAGACCCAGCAGCTTGAAATTCATACCGGATGTGTGTCACGTGTGTCCAAAATCCTGAGAGGAGAATGGAGAAGGGATTGTGGTGTGGCCATTCCCCTGGGGGGTGACTTCTCACCTTATGTCTCTGCCTCTCTTTGTCTCTCTAGCAAGCACAAGCACCCTAGACCAAAAAAAAAAAAAAAGAAAGAAAGAAAGAAAAGAAACCGCACCTCTCACCCACCTGCAGTTCGGTTTGGCTCAGGTGACTGCTTGGCTGAAGAGAAGGGGTGCTGTGGCATGCTGTTTCGGGAGAAGTCTCCAGAGCCAGCGCCATGCCTCCTTCTCTGGGGCCAGCCACGGTCCAGTGACGGGCTCCTTGGGCCTAGCCCTGGAGCATAGTCCCCGCCAGCCCTGGCAGACATGGCGCTTGAGAGAGAAACGTCCTGTCCCACGCCACGTGAGCTCTGGCTCGTTCATGACGTCGGCGCCGGTCAGCCTGCTGTGCTGAGGTGGACCTGCTGTTGGCGGGAGAGACTCTTCCGCTGTCACCGGATCTGACCTCAGCCTATGAGATGGGAGGGATTGTCCTCACAGGACAAGACGTACCCGTTACCTCTTATCGAGGGCCCCTAACTCCAGGACGGGCCTTGTGGTTTCTCACCTGCCTCTTCAGCACACACGGAGAGTCACGTGGTCTCCCCTCGCATCCGTTAGGTCGTCGGGAAGTCGTGACATGGTGCTCTATGCAAGAACGTGTCCTAACCTTCCCGACCCAGTAGTAATATAATGATCAAGGCCCTCGGCTGGCCCTGGAGAGTCGGGGCATCTGGATGCCCCTCGGAGGGGCCCGTGGGAGAGCTCCAGTGTGCTGCAGTGGTGGCTGTCACGTCCAGGCGTCACAGAAGTCTGTGGGGCCAGGCCTGAGGGGGCCTGGGGGACTCTCACCAGAGCCTGTGGTCTGTTAGGGCAGAGCTGAACACACACAGAGGGAGCTGGCGAAGGCTGTGATGGACAGGGCCCGGGGAACTCTCACCGGAGCCTGTGGTCTGTTAGGGCAGAGCTGGACACACAGAGGGAGCTGGCGACGGCTGTGACAGAGGCTTGCAAATGGGGCTGAGTGACGAGCTCAGCGTCTCTGGGGTACAGGGAGTGCTAACCGGTGATGGCCAGCACACACTTGGAGATCGCGACTGCAGACGAGTATACCTGAGTCACTGCTGAAAGGGGGCAGGGGTTTCCTAGCTCGGGGGTAAACTGCAGGGGCTGAAGGAGGTGGTTTTGAAAACGTCCCATACCTGCTTGTGACGGAGCTCTTCTAGAAAAGCTGTTCACATAACCCCTGAGTGCACTTTAGAGTGTATGTTAAAAATATGACCTTGTGCTTTTGGGGTGGTTTAGAGTGGCCTGTGTCATTTTTAAGAAGAAAACAAAATTAAAAAAAAAAAATCTAGAGCCCTGTATGAAATTTTAAAATAACAATGGGTTACAGGCCAGCAAGTGGAGTGGTGGTTAAGGCTTTGGATTCCCACATGGCCGACTGTGGTTCGACCCAGACCTGGCTGCTTGAAATTCACGCGGGGTGTATGTGGGTGCATACCCAAAAGTCTCAGGAAGAGAACAGAGAAGAAGGGATTGCGGAGTGGCCACACCCCCTCGCTTTCTTTCTTACTGTCTCTGTCTCTCTGGCAAGTGCAGGCGCCCTATGACAAAACCTAAAAAAAAAAAAATTAGGGTTCGCTCTGGAGGTGAAATCTCCCAATGGTTTTGGTAGCTCTGGCGACCAGCACCACCGTTCTGCTCATCGCCCCAGCCCTGAAATCCTGGCCTCTTCTACTTGCAGATGTTCTTCTGGTGGATGAAAAGTTTGACTTTGACCTTTCGTTGTCTTCTTCGAGGTGAGCAGTGAGTCCTCTTCCCTGGCTTTGGGCACGACCGCATCCAGCCAAGTCTTTCGGTTCAGCTCCAGGGCTGGTCATTATTAATAACCCTTTTCTTTGGAAATAGCGCAAATGAGGATGACGAAGTCTTTCTCGGGCCTGTTGGACCTCAAGGAATGCATCCTGCCAGCCCACAGCTGCACAGTCACACTCCTGCTCAGCCCCCTCCGCCGGCGCCCGGGACTCCCTGTGCGTGGAGCCCGCTGAGCGGGGAGAAGTTCGTGGAGGTGTATAAGGAAGCCCACCTGCTGGCTCTGCAGCTGGAAAGCAGCTGCAGGAACACGGCTATCCAGGCTGCCAGGTCCGAGGAGCCCCGCAGCCCCAGCGTGGAAAAGTTCGTGCAGGAATCAAAACTAAAAATAAGCCTCTTCGAGAAAGAAAAGGAAATGAAGAAAAGCCCCAAGTCACTTAAAAGGGAGACATACCACCTGTCGGACAGCCCCCTGGTGGGACCTCTGCTCTCCGGTGTCCAGCCCCCGACTCCTGTCCAGGCCGGCCTCACCGAGATGCTGGGGCCACTGCTGTCCTCATGTCCCCCACCTGAGGAGTCCAGGGCTCCCCACCCTGCAACGCAGGCGATGACTCAGATGAAGATCTCCAGCAAACTGCAGCTGCCCCGAACTGCATCTGGCAGAGGAAGAAGCACGCGCCTGGCCGCGGAGAAGGTAGACTAAAACGGGGCCCAGAACATGGCCGGGGAGGGTGTGCCGCACTGCGGGGAGGGCACGCCACGCTGCATGTCCTCTCTGTGTCCCTGTCACGGATGCGGGGCTGGCGGGGAGGAGCTGTCAGAAGTCCTCACAGAGCAGGGGTGTTGGGGGCCAGGTTGGGCGGGCTGGGATGGCCGGGTGGGTGGATGGCGGCTCCTCCGTTCTGTGACAGTGGTTCCCTGTGTTCTGCCCAGCACCTGCCGTGCAGCCCATGAGGGAATTCACTGCTTTAGTGAGCAGCCTCTTCCCACAACCCTTCTCTGGGATGGCCGGTAGTCTGCCACTTGGACAGTGACTTCCTTCTAGAGGTTTCTCTGTGGCACTGAGCAGAGATGAGTGGCCTGGGAAGTGGCAGGTGGCTGTTGGGGTGTGGTCAGCCAACGCTACAAACCACGGGTTCTGGAGGCTGTGGGTGCAGGAGGACGGTGGATGGCAGCCCACAGCTCGCGTCCAGGCCTGCCTGGTCTGGCTCTGGCTCGGCAGAGGGAGGCTCCTCCCCTGTGGGAGGGGTGTCCCAGCTCTACTCCCACCCGGGCAGTTGAAGAGGAAAGACCGTGTAGGGCTATGAGGAGAGTGAAGGAAAGGCCAGATTCCCACGGCCCTGCAATGCCTTCCCACAAGCCCATCTCCTGAACCACTTGACTGCCTGTGCTCAGAGCCCAGGACTGAAGCCTGCTGAGAGGGCACCCACCACACCCACCCTCCGCCAAGGGCAGGCTGGGCACCGCCGTCCTAAGTAGCTGGGGCCTACGCTGTAATCATGCGAACTCCTTTTCCTGGAGACCATTTGGGATGTGTGTCTGCAGCGGAGCGGGGTGGGTCTGGCTATGTACAGCCCACGTGGGCTCAGGCCGTTCTGCACCAACCTGCCCTTCAGTGTCCTGGTCCCAGGTGGCCATCTGGGGTCCAGAGAGCTGCTTCCCCATCAGTGAAGTGCTGCCTCCCCAGCTCCCTGCAAGCTCGCTGGGAAACCCCTCTGCTGCCCACACGTTGTTCTGGGAAAAGCCCAGAGTGACTCACAGCCCAGCCTGTCTGCGTGAAGACTGTCGTTAGGGGCGCTGGACCCTCTGCTGTAACACCTGTTTAAGCGTGTTCTTTGGGAGAAAGACAGAGAACATGAGTTCTTGGTGAGGGGCCTCATACACAGGGGGACTGTGGAGTGGTGAGGTGTCTGAATGGAACAGTCTGGCAGCTCCTCGAAAAAGCTAGTTAGTTGCCGTGGGGCCGGCAGCCGTGCTCCATGGTCTGGCCCCGAGAGCAGGGAGCGTGTCCATAGAGAGACCGTGCAGTAGGGCTCGCGGCCACATGTGCAGTGGCCCCAGGCGGAGCCAGCCTGGGCCGTCAGTGGTGAGCCTACTCACAGGGTGTGATCCTCGTAGGTGCTGGGACCACAGGGGCAGATACGGAGACGCAGAGTCATGGGGGTCACCCGGATGGGAGGTGGGGGTGGGCCAACGCACGAGTCCCTGGGGACAGATGGCCTGAGGTGGGGGTGAGCCAACGCACGAATCCCTGGGGACAGATGGCTTGAGGTGGCCCGTGGTGATGGCTGCCCACGCAGCGAGTACACCAGAGCCACTACACGCACGCTGCAGAGTGTGATCGCCCGGGAAGTGTGTGTCCGATTATCGACCGCTGCGAAGGAGGGTCACTGCCCTGGCCAGGCCACAGAAGGGGCCATTGATGTAAGTGTGGATTGGTGCCATGGGAGCCCGTCCCTAAATATGTGAGGAATTTATTCTCGGTTCGGCTCTGCCGGCTGAAGAAAAGGGCTTTCAGTGCCAAGATGTATTGTATGAGCATCTTCCCCGGCAGAGGGCACCAGTAAACGACGTCCTTTCTGTACAGCATTTAAAAACTTTTTTTTTTTGAGAGAGAGATTTTTGCTATAGGATGCCTGCACTATCCAGAAAGACAGAGACAGAGAGACAGAAAGCGAGAAATCATCCCCTGGGGGGATGGCCACGCCGCAGTCCCTTCTCCTCCATTCTCCTCTCGGGATCTTGGGCACGCACACACACATGCCCAGCATGGGTTTAAGCCGCCAGGTCTGGGACTCGAACCGCAGTCGACTACATGGGAGTCCAGCAACAGCCATTACGCCAACTGCTGGTCCCTAGCATTTAAAAACTTTTAAATTGGTGTAACTAGAACTGGTCTTCTCCTTATCACCCTTACATCTGAGGAGCAGTGTCCAAGGGTCTCTCCTATTAGTGGTCTGGCCTGTCATTCTCTTACACAGTTTTCAGTGAGGAAGCAAAATTGTCTTGGTCCGTGGATCATGTGGGGGAAGTGGACTGTTGTGTCCATCCAGCTGCCGATGGAAGGGTGTGGTAGCATTTGGGAAGAGGGAGGGAGCCGGGGCTGCTGGAGACGGAAGCCTTAGTCCACCTGTGTTGTTAAAGACTGGCCTTGCTCACATTTCATGTTGACTTGCAGCCCAAGAAAGAGATATCAGCCAGTCCCTCCAGAATGAAAACTCTAAACGAGAAGGGCCTCCACAGGGGTGAGCTCCCCGGCAGACCCAGCCCTGTTCTGGACGTGGCCCGGCCGGCCCGGAGAACTCACTCGATCCCAGGCAAGCGGTCGCTGCCTGTCCCAGACAAGGTGCGTCCATCTGCCGAGGCTGCAGCCCGGGGCCGACAGAGGGTGCAGCTCTGTGTACAAGTACCATGTCCTGATTAAAATCAAGTTAGAGCTGGGGATGGAGCCCGTGGAGGGCAGCTTGGTGAATACCTGCGAAGAGCATAGGACAGGAACGCAGGGTTGGGGGTGAGGGCCTGTGGCAGCCGAGGCAGCAGGGCACCCTCCCTGCATCCTCACAGCTGATGTGGGGGCTGGTGCTTTGCAAACCGCAGCCTCCCCAGCTGCCGCCATCCACACCTGCGCCGTTTCCTGGCGCTGGTCAGACCGAGCCATGCCTCGGTGTTGCCGACTCCTGAAAGCCTAGACGGTAGCTCCCGAGCCGGTAGGTCCCGGGGCTTCAGAGCCCAGACTCGGAGGAGCACTGCTGTTTTTCCTTCTTTAACTTCAAGATGATTGTTACCACCGGCCATTAAAACCTTACTTTTGCAGTAAGTGATGGGCGGGTAGTGAAACCCTCACTGACTCCATCTTGTAACGTTTGTCTCAGGTGGGGCTGAAGCGGACTGTGCTAAAGCCACCAGGTGGTGACGGCAGCCTTCTGAGGAAGTCCTCCTCCTCGGGCTCAGGCTCGGCCGCGAGCGTGGAGTCCAGGGGGTGTGCGTCCCCCGCAGCCAGCAGAGGTGAGCACCGTGTCTCCTGTCCAGCCCCCGCCTGAGCCCAGGCGTCGTGAGACTGTTCACAAAACCTCGTGGCCAGGATGACATCCCGCTGGGTGTGCTCTGGCTGAGGCTGGGCTACAGGGCGGCGGGAAGGAGACCTGTGACCTGCCTGCAGATGCTTTGCTGCAGTGAGCAGAGGCGTGGCCTTATGTTAGGGTCCTGCAGCGCACAACACGTGTGTGGACCGGGTCCCAAGCACATAGAAGGAGGGCCTCTGGGCAGCCTCGGCAGATGCAGGTTCTCAGATAGGGCTGTTGGGATAACTGACAGCTTATGGCCCTGAAACCCCGGGATGCTTCCCTGCACCCTGCACAAAGCCCGGCCAAGGCTGCCATCTAGTGGTAATGGGAAGAAACCTCGTAGGGCATGGTGGGGGGTTGTGGGGGAGTTGGGGGGTTGGTTCGGTTCTTCTAAGAGCCTGAGGCAACAGGTAGACCTGACTGCAGTCCACCGCCCGTGGTGTGGAAGGTGTGGGCGCTCCAGGTAGACGGATCTGACTTAGAGTCCTTGGTGGCTGAGAGAAGCTCTCGTCCTCCTTTCAGACTGAGATGACGCCGCCGCCCTCGAGCGTTCTTCTCCTTCGTTTTATGTTTAGTTTGCTCTAGGACAGGCGTGCTAGCCAGAGAGGAAGCAGGATCGTGAGAGCCCCCGGGGGATGGCTGTACCACAGTCCCTTCTGTCCCATCTTTCAGGGACTCAGGCGTGCACGCACACATACCTGGCATGGCTTTCAAGCTGCTTGGTCTGGGACTCAACAGCAAAGCTGACCTTGTGGGATCCAGCCGACTCCGCTCTGCCCCATCGGCTGGCCCCTCCCTGAGCGTTCTCAGGCATCAGAGCACCAGGCGTCCCGTCCCCGCTCTGCAGCACGTGTCTGACGGGGGGAAGCCCCGTGCTGTTGCTCTAGGTTTCGTGGCCTATTTTGCTGTGTGGGGGCCTCACACCAGCCCGTGTCCTTCACCGTCTCTGTGGAGACCTGGCGTGGGGGGTCTCTCCACTGCACGGGCAGATGAGCAGGCTCCGGCAGGACCGTGTGTGAGGGGGCCCGTAACACTGCTGCGCTGTGAGCGTGAGCTGCAGCACTTGCTGTTCTCTTAGAGGTTACCTTTACCAGGCCTTTGGGGGCCGGCACGTGGTGTGGTAGTTAACGGCACTGGATTGCTATGTGACCGACCGTGGTTCAAGTCTCAGACCTGACAGCTTGCTTTCTCAACTTCCCTTTCTCTCTCTCATCAAATTAAAAAATAATAATAACAAATGTAATTAAATAAATAAATAATAAATCTTTTTTTTTAAAAAAGAGTCTTTCATAGGGGGACCAGCAGATGGAATAATGGTTACATTGTTGGACTCCCACATAGTCCACCAGTTCGACAGCTGGCAGCTTAAAAAAAGAGGCCCCAGCAGGAAGCATGGTGATAAGGCCTTGGACTTCCACATGGCCAACTGCAGATTAAGTCCCTGATCTGGTACTTTGCTTTCTTACCTTCCCTCTCTCTCTGTCTCTGGCTCTCTCTCTAGTGAGAACTCATGCCCTATAGCAAATTAAGAAATATGGGCCAGCAGATGGCATAATGGTCACTGGACTCCCACATAGTCAACCATGGTTTGAGTCCCAGACCTGGTGGCTTACCTTCTCACTTCCCCTCTCTCTCTCTGTCTCTCTGGTCAAATTAAAATAAATGAATGAATAAATAAAATTAAATAAATAATTATTTAAAAAAAAAACAGGAAGTCTTTCGTTAGGTTGACTTTCGTAGTGGGTATGTTGGTCGGTGAGTATTCGTCGCTGTTGTTTATCCGCTGTTCACTTTTTTTTTTTTTTTGGAGAGGTTTTTGCTATAGGGCGTGTGCACTCGCCAGACAGAGAGACAGAAAGCGAGAAATCACCCCCCCAGCGGGGATGGCCACGCCGCATTCCCTTCTCCTCCATTCTCCTCTCGGGATCTTGGGCACGCACGCACATGCACCTGGCATGAGTTTTAAGCCACCGGGTCCGGGATGCGAACCGTGGTCGACTATGTGGGAGTCCAGCGACATAGCCATTACGCTAACTGCTGGTCCCTCCGCTGTTCACTTTTCATAGTGCTTATACTCAATAGGGTCGGCCCTCTCCTCACATCAACCAGTGCCTGTCGCATCTTCTCTCCCTGTGCCGCCCCACGCCCTGCCTACAAGGGGGAGGGATTAGACTGTCCACTTCTGTCTGCTCAACTAGGGTACATTTCTGTTGCTAGTACCAGCAGTGAAGATAGGAGAGCGCGCATTCCTGTGTTTTTGTGTGCGTCTTGGGAGCCGCATTCAGAGCTGGTACCTGATACCGCACTCTGCCAAGCGGCACAGCTGGGACCGCCCTGCGTCTGGCGACGGTGCCTGACGGGCAGCAGAATACTGTCCGTGTGCCATGTGTTTAAGGTGGACGACGGGGAAGACGGCGTCCTGCGGGGTGTTTGCTAGTAGCTTTGTAATTTGAGGTGACGCCAGCCTGAGTGACACCCAGCTTTGCTGTCTCTTCCAGGGAAATCGAGTGAATTGTCAAGTATTCCTGCCCGCAGTTCCCGGCCTCTGTCAAACACCAGCAAGTCAGGCAGGATGGGCTTTGCCCTGGCCCAGCGGTCTGAGCCGGCAGGGACCCCCGGTGCACCCAACCAGGCC